GGGGGGGGGGGGGGGGAGGACGGGGGGAGAACGGGTTTCTTTCTCGCACAGGACCTGCTGTCTATCTCGTTGTCGATCTTTCTGTGGCATTTCTGCTCCCTGCCTCGCTAGCCAGCAAGGCAGATACACGTAGGCCCAAAGTCCACAGCCATGAAAATTGTACAGACAGAAATGCGAGTGCTAGATAAAAATAGGATAAGTCAGAGAAACAGGGTGTTCTACTGCATCCTCATGTGAATTTAAAAGAATTGAAATTTTATGTTGCGTGAACAATAAAAGTTTTCAATAAATGTGGGACTGAGGGGCATGTTATTGCATGATGTCCTCAGATCAGCGGAACCAAAGGGAGCAGCCAGTAGAAGTAGCATTCCCCTTCCCATCTTTCTTTGAGGGGTAATTCAGATTTGTAGTACTTTGAGATATCATCACCGATCTGACCGGGTCTAGGTAATTCAGATTTGTAGTACTTTATTCATCTGCTTCCACTGGAGCAGATGAATGTCAACAGTTCAGGGGTGTACCAACTGAGCTAGGCCAGTCGGTAACAGGTAAATCAAAACTGTTTAGGGGGATCTTACTCAATTGCTTCCAGTGGAGTTCGAACTCAGGTCTGTATTTTTGGACAGTTTGGGGGGCCACGGTCCCACTAGGCAAGGGATTAGAGGACATTTTAGACCTGTGATAGGGGAAAGAACAGAAAAAGAAAGTAATTTGGAACATGTGTAAACATAAGAAAAATATAATTAGAAGTGCCCAAACATCCTGTTGATGCGGCGTGTAACAAGCTTTCCTGGGCAGGGATGCCGTTTCAGCCCTTGCCACTTCTGGTCGTAATTGCAGTCATATACATTTAGGAGGATCGCACCACGCGGGGGCTGTTCTGAGCCTCTACAATGAGGGCATACTTACACTAGGACTTTTTCTATTATGCTCTGGATGTGATTGTGGTTAGATTCATTGACATCTGGCTGTAATTGCAGTCAGATATATTGACAAGGTGTTTACCATGCTTGTGTGTGCGCTGTTCGAATTGCTTTCTTTAGTGAAATTGTTACGATCCTGGCTAATTCCGAAGTGCAAATTCACAAAGAAAGACAATGCCACCCAATTGCAAAGAAATGAAAGCACTTGCAAAGAGATAGAACCTGGAGAAAAAGATGGAAGAAGAAAGAAAGAAGAAGAAGAAGAAGAAGAAGAAGAAGAAGAAGAAGAAGAGGAAGACGAAGATGAAGATGTACAGCAGCAAGACCGATGACAAATCCCCCTTCTCTCTCCATTCTCCTCCTCCTCGTCTCTGCCAATCCTTTTCTTCTCCAAAATAATAATAATTACAATGAGTGGTTGAACCAGAATCAATATCCGAAGTTCCCTCCTACTGCCAGCACAACAATAGGTCCACCATAGCCATGGCCTCCCTCTTCTCCTTCCTCTCACAGGTCGAGGCTATGGCGGACTACTAAGAGCCCTGCCCTCCTGTGCAAAAGACAACGCAAAGCAGCTATGGCCGCTGCTCTTCAGGCCGCCATGCCTGACTCTGCCTCGACGCTTCCTTGGTGCGGCAGTACCCCAACCGGGGACTTCGAGATGCAGCACCTAACAAGGTGATGAAGATGGTGTCCACCATAGCCAGGTAGGTACCTTGCCACTCTCCTTCTTCAACCCCTTCTTTCTCCTTTGGAAGCTGGACCAAAATAGCTGGTGACGCCAGCCAAAAAAGAAGAAAAAGTGAACCGCTGGTGGTTCGGCAAAGCTTGGCGTGCAGTGGAGGGCCTCCAGGCCCAGGTTTAGTGGTGGTTTAAGGTTGGATGAAGCCTAGTTCTTTTGCTTATGGCGCACCAGTTTTGTTTGTGCATAAAAAGGAAGGAAAATTCAGATTTGTGCACCAGTTTTGTTACCCCATAAAAAGGAAGGAAAATTCAGACTGTATATTGATCCTTCTATGGACAAATAAACTACTATATGGATTTTATGAGGAAGTTCATGATTATAACTACTCCTAAGAACTTGAAAAGAAAGAGCCGTTTTGGTGGTGGGACCAAAATTGTAGGTATGCATTCAGGAAGTACAAACATGCACTAGCTCACTATCCTGTCCTCAAGATTGCAGACCTATCCTTATTCTTTGTTGTGACAATGAACGTGGGCCAGCATGAGGCAAATGCTGTATTGCCGCAAGATAAGAATGAACATAGACCCGTTGAATTTATGTTAGAGTGACTCTCATTTGAGAAAGTACTTGCATCGAAGCATAAAAGAGAACAATATGTCTTGTTTGTAGCCCTACAACCTGGAAACGTTACTTGCCAGGTAAAAGTTTCAAGATTGTCTCAAATCATAAGGTCTTGACACGACTAACGACGTAACCTAAATTGTCCATCAAGTTAGCAAGATGGTTTCCAATCATAGAAACATATGATGTTGAATTGAAGAGAATAAAGGGTCAATATAACATGGTTGCGGATACAATTTATCATGGATCTTATTTATTTGGAGGTATAGTTATTTACCTACACATAGGAAAAGTCTAAAAGATTAGATTGCTCAAGTTGTTATGAAGATCAAATTCAATTAATAATAATACAAATTCCGTAAGCCGTAGAATGAATCTCAAACTATAAGATGACAAATGTCTTACGTTTCTACTTAAACCACTAGTACCTCTGCTAGTGTTGGGAAAATAGGGAAAACTGGCAGTTTTCCCATTTTCCCTGAAAACTTCGGAGGTCCCAGAGGCTCGACAAGAAGAATAAAGTTTAGTTTTATATTGCCCGCTTGTGAAAGAAAAAAGAAGATGTTCTCTCTACTGCAATAATGTCAGGCAGGGTAGTCTAGGAGGCCATGCTCACAATAGTGCTCCGGAGAATGAATCTTGCTACTAAAACGGTCAGATTGTGAATGTTGTTGCTTTTTTTTTTTTCTTTCTTTTCTTACTCTTTATGAGTCCCCTGCCAACGAGGCATGACGTAATTCGTGATTTGCTCAAGCTGTGTTTCCTCATTGTGATGACACTTACACTCAGAGGAATGTATCCAACCAATATCACGACCGAATCTGTGTTTCCTTTTTTTTTTTCCCCTTTGTATTTTATGAATCTGACACGATGGCCACAGGGCTAAGATACCCTCGTTGAGGGCACACTCACACTACCACTTCTAGGAACATATGCAATTGCAGTTCACGGCCAAATCTTTGTTACTAAGTTACTGCTTTGTTTTCCCTTCTTTTGTGAATTTCACAGCCGCAACTTTTTTTTTTTTCTTCTTTCTACGAGAGTACAAGAAAATAAAATGAAGTGGGAGGCAGACTCGACAAAACTCGGAGTGCAGTGAATTTCAGGCTCGACAAAAACAAGCTCAAAGGTACTAGTGACTTGAGCAATGGTAAAAAACGAATTTGCATTCATAAGGATGAATCAGTTAAGAGTTCTATCTGGAAAAATATAATGCTACTGAAAGATACTTTTGATAATTGAAAATCTATGCTTATGCAATGAAACACTTCATCTGGCAAGGATTGAAAGAGTATATTATTACTTATGTATGAACATGCCAAATATATCGAAGGAATAACTCATTCCAATACAGTCTATCCGGAGTGCTCAAGCTTCTTCCATTCCAGATGGCTTGGAGAATCTATTTCCATAGACTTCATGAATCTCATGAAGAGCCGGATTGGGAATACATTTGGAAGAAGATACGACTACTTGTGTACGAACATGCCAAGTATATCAAAGGAATAACTTGTTCCAATGAAGTTTATTGAGACTGTCTAGGCTTCTTCCATTCTTGATGGCTTGGAGAATACCATAGACTTCACGAATCTTACAAAGAGTTGGAATGGGAATAAAATTGGAAGAAGATAGGATTACGTATGTATGAAATTAATAACTCATTCCAACAGAGTCTATTGAGATTGCTTCGACTTCTTCCATTTTTGATGGCTTGGAGAATCTATCTCCATAGACTTTATGAATCACATGAAGACTCATAATGGGAAAGAGTGAGTAATGGCTATTATAGATAGGTTCTCTAAGTATGCAAAGTTCATTCCTTTGCTATCAAACTCAACTTCGTGTCCACTATGATCGATTGCCCTTCTTTGTTTCTTTTTTGTCAGATAAACTTATTGAGTTAATCAACTTTTTGCCAAGTTTATCAATGGACAATGTCTTCAAGAAGACACCTTGAAATCAATGAACAAAATGAGTAGATGAATAAACTTTGTCAGCGACTTATGAGAATGTGAGTTAGACCTCTA